GTATTCGGTACACCACTATTAACCAAAAACGGTTGTTCGCTTATCACTCATCGATTATCAATACATTTCATTGACGGAACATTCTGTCTTGAACAATCAAAAATTGCAACATTCACTAATTGTAAGTTCAAGCCATTTAACAATATCTAACATAACGGTATGTAAATGCTGAGGTCAAATCATAAGTCAAATTCACAACATCATTCCTAATAGACGTACGTTAATGAACTGATGATGTTAGAGTTCCGAATTCATCAACTTCATCCAGGTAGGAGCGATCGATTCATGAAGTTTGATCAGGCGAATCACTCTCAGCGTCCCATCCATGCGTATGATAGGGGATGGGATTTGAAAACATTCGATCATCATAGACTAAGTCTTCCAGAAACAGTCCTTGCGGTGGAGCGATTCTCAATCGACGTGCGTAAAAATTTTTCGGATCCGGATTCTTCAGCAACCATTCAATCATATGCTCGCCATAAAGCCCATACGCTTGCCCAATAATCACACCGATCATGCGACGGACCTTAATAACTTCTCGAATGGAAACCTCTCAAAAAATCTCTTCGAGACGGAAAATTAAAACATCCTTCCTGCTTACAATGCGGATAGAATGAAAACTATCTGAGTTCACTTGGCTCAAAATTAAGCAATCAACATAAACTCTAATGCAAACAACTAATTTTACTCACTTGCTCACGAAGAAACGATCTCGACACAACTGAAATATCGAAGAAGTCGAATTCGGAATCGTAAAAACTCCTTGGTTCACCTGAAAGATTCATCCCAACTCTTGAAAATAATCAAAATTACGATTCAGCATTCCTCAGAGTTTGCTCTGATTTCACCAAATTATAACTGTAATTACAAGTCAGTACTGTCAAGATTCGGTCGCATATGAGTACTAGTTGTATGGTAAATATCAAAATCAAGAAAATATCAAGCAAATTCTAAATTATCGAAGCATCGGTGGTAAAGATCATTGAAAAGGTTCCAACAGGAGCAAGGAATGTTCTAAAGGATAACATTTTAATTGGATATCAAAATTCAAAGAGCGAGAATTTTTCCATACTTCTCAAACATCTCAAAAAAAAAACGAATTGAACCCACCAACCACCATTCAAGTCACAGTGCAATATGCTCTTAATTGTTGAAGGAAACTCTTTTTCGTGTCGTTTTTCCCGTTCAGGATGTTTCAAAAATGAGGCCATATTATGCGTTCCCTGAAATGTTTCGTTTAACATACGCTCTATCCCATGAAAACCGAACATCGTAAGTTACATTACTATATTATCATATTATATTAAAAAAAGAGTACGATATCGATGATATTATTAATGTAAATAGTATCGACTTGATAGGATTGCCGCAATACCATCTTATAATATTCTCTACTTTGTCAGTTTCCGGCAACATAATGACTCAATTGCAACATTTATCTTGTCGCTTGATATGTGAGAAAAAGAACAATTAAAAGTTTGACAATGAATTCAACCTCAAATGAACAGCATGCTTCTCGTGCTCGATAAATGTCAAATCCAGGCGGTAAAATCCATGAATAATTTCGTTCTGCGAAATGTATCAGGGATGGTTGTTTATTGAAACGCGACCAGGCATCCGAATGGTGCGTAACACAAATCCGATATTTATAGCGCCTGAATTTGTAAACTATTAAGACGATTCAAGAATTGAAAAACTGAATTTAGAAAATCAAACAATAAAAGTCGTTCTCATGAAAGTTCAAATTTAATACGATGGTTTTTAGTTTAATTTTAATTGACAATTGATATACGAAAAATAGAACCATTGCTATACTATTAAAAAAACACAAACACTACAAACATACACCGGAACTATAAATTTTACGAGGAAGAAAAAACTTGTCAAGAGTACAAGAATAAGAGTAGACCTTTTGACAGTAACTATGACTGCATAAATAATATAATTGGAAGTACATGAGTCTATTCCAGGCAATAATGCATTCCATATTAGTTGTATTCACATGAAGATGGATCGTTTATAGGAGAAACAGTCTTGATAAGATATGCGAAAAAAAATTCAAAAAGCAAATCAATGACAGAAACAAGTGATACCGAATGGAAATCCAAAATTTTCAACGAATTTGGACAACATCGATCAATCGTCGTGTTCAATTCGTACAATAAATTCGATTTTCGTTCATCGATATGACCATATTCCAGAGGAACTTGAACCACTATCGCATTCCGAATGGCATGCACACCTCGGTCGGTTCTGAAAATTGAGCATACGCATATCAAATGATAATTGAACATCTGAATGATTTTTTTGATGGACAATAATATCAGTAATCATTGCTAATTACATGATAATTAGCACCTCACCGATGCTATAACAGTGATCACATAGCATTGCAGCAATCACTGTCATTCCTCCGACACTATCATTAGCGTCAAATAAGTTCGACTGAATTTGCTCAAGCCAATTCTACGATATCAATTCGATGAGTGCTGTCAGCATTGTATCATTTCACAAGTAGATATTTGCATTTCGATTTTAAAAAGAATTGAAACACTTAAAAAAATTACCGACTTGCTGCTGACGTTTTCAAGCGTTCGCCAATTCCAACGAACGAATTCCGTAGAACTTGACCAAAAAAGTCCATCACTCCGAATCCTGTACCTCCTTTCGCCATTTCCGGAAAACGACTGCCGTCATAGGAGATCCAGAATAGGTAACGTCTTACACCGGCCATAACATATTATTTCCATACAAAATCCTGCAGAAACTGAATCATTATTAGAATAGAACTGAACATAATCGAGCATAATTCAATCGCAATATAATTCGAGCAGACTAAATTGAATCTTCACGGGTAAAATTTCATTATCCGTTAGATGAGATCAAATAAGTAATTCAGAGCGAAAAATTACGCGAAAAAAAAAACTTGTGCAAAGTGATTGAAACACAAGTTAATTAAACGATAGACGACGTCAGCGTATGAAATGTTCAAACAATCCGAGCAACGTTAAATGGTTGGCTGCAATACCAATAGTCTTTGATTTTTCATACTTCACATGGCTGCACAAGGCATACATGCATTATGCACTACTTGTCTTTTCATAAAATAACCACATTTTCGCGATGAACTTTTATTTTGCACGGCGGTAATTGGTAGACTTCCAGAGAGAAGAGAAATTGTTACTGGTAATGTTTTGTTTCGGTAGTCAATCATTTTGCAGCCCTATTTAATTATTGTAATCAACAAGCCCAGATACAGCTGCTAGGCTTCAAGATACAAGCATAACATGGAAATTTACTATATGTTTCAGGCATACGCATTATGCACTACAGATAACCCAATGCGTTTTAAACACATGGCGGCTTCCCGTAATGTGGCAATCGCAAAGCAATTTATTAGGAAACGATTGGCCAAATTTATCTCTTTATAGCTGTGCTTCATCAGCCACACAAAAAACGACCACTACAGTATGAATGATATTGGTTCGAGTGTTGTGCTACAAAATCACCTTGTTTTGAATAAGATTCTGAAATCGTCATGAACGTTTCTCTAAATGCATCTTATTTTTCTAAAGGCCGTGTGAAATGACGAATCGTAAAATTACTGAGGGCATGCGAACTTCTCAATGATGAAACAGAGGAATATTCATTACGCATTGCATTCTTCACACGAACACTGCTGACGATAATAATCCAGTGATTCAGGTTTTTCATGCGTGTCTCATCTTACTCTTAACAAAAGTGTCTGATTAATGAAATCAACGAAGTCGTAAATGAACTGTAGCTGATGATCTTTTGAAGGCACTGTCTTTAGTCAGGTATTTTCCATGTAAATTATCAAAGCATGAAGTTGTCATTCCGTAAAACGACGAGTAAATGAAGTTTGCGATACACATGATTAATTGTTGGGTATTCACGCACTGACTGCCTTAATTTCCGTGCATTTGAAGGTTTCCAACTCATAAATTATCATGTTTACAA